GGAACCTGATTATCTAGACCCATTCCAATCTGAACTCATGCCTGGGTTCAGGACTAAATCTGACTTGGTTGCCCTAGTGGATGATGACTTCTATAGATAGAGGGGCAGGGGGAGTGTGACCCTGTTGCTCTTACTAGATCTCTCAGCAGATTTTGATACAATTGACCATGGTATCCTCCTGGGCTGTCTATGGGAGATGGGTATAAGGGGCACTTTTCTGCAGTGGTTCTGGTTTTATCCCCAGGGATGGTTCCAAAAGATAGCACTGGATGAATGCTTCTTAGCACCCTGGTTCTTGGGCTATTGTTTGGACTTGCTATTAGTGGTTAGTGTCTTAATTTGAAGTCAACTCACATTCGTATTTTTCATTTCTCCTTCCTTGACTTAGAACGCCTCATAGAATTGTAGAGTTAGGACCACGAGGATCATCTAATTCAATGCCCTGCAATGCAGGAATCTTTTGCCCGACATGGGGCTCCAATTCATGACTTACTTGACCACCTATCTGCTCAATTTCAATAGTTGCTGCTCTTGAAATCTGGACATCTTATTGATGTTTTGCAAACTGCCAATAGTTTATTTTCTTCCCCTTCTTCTGTCATTAGATATACAATGGAATATTTTATGCTATAACACTTTCCTATTATATTTCCACCCTCAGTCTCAGAAATTGGTCTGTGATTTATTCTGTACTTTTCTTTTTTCTTACGAAGTCTACAATACTCCTGATACTTTGCTCCAGTTGTTCAGGCTGTCATTTTCAACTCTTGTCACCCAACTTCCCCTCTCCCACTTTTCTTATTGTCAGGCCTCTAAAGTGCTTCTAATTTCCATTCTTATTGGAGGAATTTGCTCATCCATAGCTCTTGACAGTATTCTGGGTGTTTTGTTTTTTGATTTGCTCCAGGGCGATTTTGTTACGTTTTTACAATGCAATGCTTTTCTGCATATATAGAGTGTATGCAGAAACATGTGCCTTGTTTGTGGGTGACCCAGTTTCATTGCCCTTCTGGTTGGCTCAAAGCCACCGTATTTGCTACTAGAGGGAATGGTTATGTGATCTGTGTGCCAATGAGCTAACAATCTAAATTTTGACAGTGTATGGGAAGAAGACCACAGATGGAAAGGTAAAAGAGGAAGGAGTAAAAAGAGATGAGTTTAAATGTAGCCGTGTTTTACATACTTAAACTTCATAGCCTTGAGATTGGATTTTTCTTTGGTGTTTGCTGCTATAATTGCCTGTTACACCAAGTTCAGCCCAAGTGAACTATGAAACACTGACAGGTATACACAGGAGTTTCTTAATTTTAGAAGAATAAAATCTCCCTGCTGCTTTTGGGCTTCTTTGTATGAGCTCCTTCTGTTCCCCCATAATGTTGATGTACAAGTTGGATCCTCCTAACAGAGGGTCCATGTTGTGCTTGGCCCTGAAACTCTTCCCTAATCAGCTTTTTTGGGGGCGGGTTGCCCCACTCCAGGCCGGTGGTGCCACAGTTATGCCAATTAGCCAATCAGCAGCGTGGCAAGGCTGGGGTGTATTTATTTGGCAGTACGACGTAGGGACCTCCTTTTGCTTCACGCTGCCGAACACCCACCCAACCACCCGTTAATTAGGTCATGTTTGGCCTTGCTTTGGACTTTGTTGGTCGCCTGTTTTGGAATGGGGGACAGGTAGGAATTTTTTCCAATGTGGCAAATTGGCTGTGGCCACTTGGTTTTTGCCTACCTCTTAGCAATCGTCACAACTTTGTAAGGTTTGGCAGTTAGGCATTGGTTTAGGGGAATGTGGGGAGGGGAGGTGCAGCCATCACCTGCCCCTCAAATGAATAGGGTATTCCGTTAAAGGAATCCGGGGGTCTGGATCTTGTCCGAAGCCCGGAGAGGGGCTAGGGCCATGCCAGGACCCCTGGGAACCCCAGGGGTGAGCACCAGTCTATATACATTGATGGAGCTCCCCCTGCTGGTTGTTTACCCTTCCAGGCTTCCTGCAGGGTGGGGCAGGAGCCAGATATAGTTTGATACCAATGCCTAAACCAATACTAGTCACATTTGTGTATTTTAATAAAGTTGTGGCCAAAATTTGCCCATTAACATTTAAACTAAATTCTGTCTCCACTGTGTCTTTATTTCCATGGGGGATGGGTTTGGGGGCTCGAAGCACAAGCGGATTTTCTCTTTATATGAGCAATTCACTTTAAAATCAATAAAATGTTATGTAATATAACTGGTTTCAGAAACATGATCAGACAGAAATTTAGTTTTCTTTTTGCTCCAACGCTATGTTGCTTTCAGTACATTTCAAAGAATTGCATTTGAGATTTTGTCATTCCAGTTGCATCATGCAGCATTTGAACTCAAGTGGTGCATGTCCTTGTAGGTATCTGAGTAGAGAGGTCACCAAACCTGGTTTAAAGTGAGTTCTTGGAGCTTAGATTGGAAGGAAAAATGAATGTTGAGGGGGAGAGGAATAATGAAATTTGATAGGGGTGGTATTGGCACCCAGAAAAACATTAATGCAAGTTGCCCAACTGTGTTGTGGACTATCATCTGCTTCTTACCAGGATTAGATGTCCTGTTTGGTGTTCTGAAACAATTAAGAAATTCTGTGTGGGCAGCAAGGGTGATAGTTAGGGAATGAATGCCTTTGAGACAGAAGCCTTTGCTCCTCACTCAAAAAAATGCAAGAGGGTCCTCAAATGCAGCAAACCTGGTTTACCATGTTTAGAAGTAATCCAAGTAATACACATTGCTATCTATAACAAGAGACTCCCATAAGACCAGGTTTACAGTGACTTAAATGCACCACTATTGTATCTACCAACTATTCCATGAAGCATGATTTCCAGGTGAATTTGGAAATTCTTGCTCAAGAGAAAAATTCGAGGAGTATAAAGAGGAACAAAAAACTGCAACACGACTAGTAAATTTTCTGATTTTGCTCATGGCAGATAGGGCATGAATCTAAAACATTATTCTCCATGCTTGGATGGCCAGTAGAGGCAAGGACTTATATGTAGCAGCTGTGAGCTAAAAGCTACATTTTAAAGGATTCTACAAAATAGGATGTTTGGAACAAAAATCAAATACAGTTGCAACCCGGGTTATATACGCTTCAGGTTACAGACTCCGCTAACCCAGAAATAGTGCTTCAGGTTAAGAACTTTGCTTCACGATGAGAACAGAAATCGGGCTCCGGCGGCGCGGCAGCAGTGGGAGGCCCCATTAGCTAAAGTGGTGCTTCAGGTTAAGAACAGTTTCAGGTTACGTACAGACCTCCGGAACGAATTAAGTACTTAACCCGAGGTACCACTGTAGGCATTTCCTTGGACTGTCAGTGTGGCTACAATTAGGTGGTGAATGTGGTTATGATTACTAGGATGTTGTATAAATATGCAAACATAAGGAAAATACTCCTGCTGCATCACACCAAAGGCCTATCTATTCCAGCTTCCTGTTTCCCAAAGGAAACAAGATGCTATGTTATTTTAACAATGTAGGCTTAAAGTGGATTCAGACAATGTGTTTAACAGCCCATTAATATGGAACTGTCTTTCCATTAAGGAATAGACCTTGTATGGCTATTTATTGTTTTATTAAATGCAGGTTAGGGACGCTGGTGGCGCTGTGGGTAAAACCTCAGCGCCTAGGACTTGCCGATCGCATGGTCGGCGGTTCGAATCCCCGTGGCGGGGTGCGCTCCCGTTGTTCGGTCCCAACGCCTGCCAAACTAGCAGTTTGAAAGCACCCCCGGATGCAAGTAGATAAATAGGGACCGCTTACCAGCGGGAAGGTAAACGGCGTTCTGTGTGCTGCGCTGGCTCGCCAGATGCAGCTTGTCACGCTGGCCACGTGACCCGGAAGTGTCTGCGGACAGCGCTTGCTCCCGGCCTATAGAGTGAGATGAGTGCACAACCCTAGAGTCTGGCAAGACTGGCCCGTATGGGCAGGGATACCTTTACCTTTACCTTTAAATGCAGGTTATCTTTTAGTAATCATCATGTGAATGGTGTGGTCCTCCAAATCCATTCTTTTGCTGTAATCCTCAACAGGGAGGATTCTTCTGAAGCACTTGTTTCTGGATTAGTGAGACTTGCTTCCACATAAATAAGATTAGTAATTTCAGCTAAGACTTGTGACAAATAAGAGGGACGCAGTGGCGCTGTGGTCTAAACCACGGAGTCTCTTGCTTTAGACCATAAGGTGATCCAAAGGTCAGCAGTTCAAATCCACGTGATGGGGTGAACTCCCATTGCTCTGTCCCAGCTCCTGCCAACCTAACAGTTTGAAAGCACACCAGTGCAAGTAGATAAATACGTACTGCTGTGGTGGGAAGGTAAACAGTGTTTCCGTGCGCTCTGGCTTCTGTCACAGTGTTCCATTGCACCAGAAGCACTTTAGTCATGCTGGCCACATAACTCGGAAAGCTGTCTGTGGACAAATACCGGCTCCCTTGGCCTGAAAGCAAGAAGAGCGTCACACCCCATAGTCACCTTTGACTGGACTTAACTGTCCAGGGGTCCGTTACCTTTACATTTTACCTACATTACAAATAGAAACATCCCAGTATAAACTATGATGGAAAAGGTAAGAGCTAAAAAAAGTATCCTAACTGGATTAAAAATAGATCTGTGAAGTACATTGACTAGGTTACAAAGCTTATCACAATATGTTCTTTATAATTCAGCTATGAAGAGATTTGTAAGCTGATCTTCCATTTGGCAGCATTTTAGCCTTCTACCCCTTTAACATGCACATCATGGCAAGTGTAAAATGATCAATAAGCAACTGTGTCAAACAAGGTTATTCCATGAACCACCACAGGCTCTGAGCTGATTAGCTTCCAAGATCAGATGTAATGTGTTGGCCATAGATGCAAGGTTATGGAAAGGACCTAATAAACAATCAAATGGAGTTTACTTCCCATCAGAACCTTTTGAAATAGGATTACCAGGATTGCTTCACAATATGCTTTTGCAGTTTTTCTATTTATTTTGCTTTTTGTAATCTTTATCCCCGCATCTGACTTTTAGCATCCCCCTCCCCACCTATGGCCATTAGGGGACAACATAGTTGGGCAGCTGCCATGGCCCAAGTCCCAGACAGCAACAGCTGACAGGAGCCCTGATTGGAATTCCCAACATTGTGGCTGAATTTTCTTTATCACTGTGTGTATGCTCCTCAGTGCTCATAAGATTATCAGCTAAGGGAGAGCAGCAGCAACAGGGACTACCACAAGAACCAGAGCCTTCTCCTTCTGGGTCCATCAGGTAGCAGCAGGAAAAAGGATGAAGAGCATGAACTGCCACATGGCATGCCCAGAGGGAGAGGGATGATGGTGACTTTTGCTGCAGCTGCTTGCCACCTTTATGTCTGGACCCACTGAGTAGTGGACACAAGGAAAATAACAGCTGTAGAGAGAGTGGGAACACTCTCTACCTTAAAGCTAACCCATGTTTTGTGAATGGACCAGTGGATCAAGGGGCACAGAAGACAGCCGGCCATACCTCAGCCACCCACCCAAACAAAGTTCTTTAACTAAAGGAGAGCCTAAGCAATGTACAGTGGTACCTCGGATTACATACGCTTCAGGTTACAGACTCCGCTAACCCAGAAATAGTACCTCGGGTTAAGAACTTTGCTTCAGAATGAGAACAGAAATCGTGCTCCAGCGGCGCAGTGGCAGCTGGAGGCCCCATTAGCTAAAGTGGTGCTTCAGGTTAAGAACAGTTTCAGGTTAAGAATGGACCTCTGGAACGAATTCAGTACTTAACCTGAGGTACCACTGTACTATATGCGGGGCTTCCCTTACACTTTACCTGGAAACTGCAGTTCCTGTCAGCATGTGACACCTCTGCTCAAAGATCGGCACTGGTTAACTTGTTTCAGTCTGTGGAACCAGCACTGCTTGCTTACAAGTGTCAAATAATATCTGTGCTTGTAAGAAATTTGTATATTGTGTGGCAGCTACACTTTGGAACTTCCTGCCTATTGACATCAGGCAGGTGCCTTTGCTGAACTCTTGTTTGCACCTGCTTAAAACATTTTTGTTTACACAAGCCTATCCAGACACATAGATTAGATTCTAAACAGTTACAGGTATGACAGAATCACTGCTATATACATATATTAAACTGGGAGAAAAATAATATTCAGGAAGATCTATCAGAATTACATTCTTTTTTTAGTCTAGCAATGTGAATAAAATGTTGAAACCTTAGTCAAGCATAATGTCTTAGGGTTGCTTTGCACATGCATTTAACATTTCTAATCGTGTGTGTGTGTGTGTGTGTGTGTGTGTGTTGCTGGTCATGTTAGCAGTCAAATGTGGTTATTTTTGGTCATGTGATTTTTTTTGTTGCTGGTGGTGTACTCTCCGGCACAAATGAAGGTGTGCATTTTAGTGTGCTCCCGAGTAATGACAACCAGCAGAAAATAAGCATGTGTAATTAATAAAAAATGCCATTAACACCAAACATTCACATTTTTATTAGGCATGCTAGTAAATTAAACACACTGACCAAGGTGTAACTAGTTTTAAATGCCCAAGTGTTTCTTCTGAACTGTGTTCACCCCCATAATACATGGTCACCTGTTTTTGAAACCTAAAGAAGTATACTTTAAAAAAAGAAGAAGCGCTTTTGAGTGTGTTTCAGGAAGACACCTACATCCAGCTGGAATAAATGAGCTAAAAGGGCACGGCTAAATAAGTACCCTCTAATTTTTACTTCGTTAGCCCATGTGACCTTACACATAGTCTGTTTTGGAATGCTTGAGAAACCATCTGTTCTGTACATGGTAAATGTTAGAACCATATACAGTTTCTGAAGAACAAAGGTGGCAGCACATGCGTGAGGTCTTTTTTTTTTTTTCTGGCACCCAAGTACTTCCCAGATGAAACTTCAGTAAGTGAGTGGAACCTGTTCTCCCATTTGCCCTCTTAGCCTTTCTAAAAATACTGTCATCCCCAAGAAGAAGTTATTTTGGGAGATGCATCTGCATGGGTATACCCTTGGGAGGCTTAGTTTTGGCATGCGCACATGTGTCAGTTTCACATGGCTTACATAGCTCGTCCTGTGCACACTTATTACAAGCCTCTCTGTACACAGACTCAAGAGACAACTCCTGGATCTGGGAACCACAAAGCTTTTGAATTTGTAGGCTGAGTTTCTAAACGCAGGAGGAGGGGAAATGTTCTTTTAGAAATGTTAATGGGTGTCTGAAATAATTCCTTTCAGACATCCACACGCCAGTTCCTCAGCTTATTGGATCTGATTTCATAAAACCTGGCTGTGGTTTCTCTCCGGGGACCTTAATGATCTTGCCACTTTCAATAAACATTTATAGAAACTGCCAGCTTGCGGACAAGAGAAACTCATATGAAAGACTTTATCTTCCAGAAATATTGAAAAGCAAAAAAAATAAAAATCCTCCAAAAAAAGCCCCACCCCTCCCACCTTCACGAGAAGATTAATAGAAACTGTCAAGATGTAGCCTTCAGTTGATAACTGGAATTGAATTATAGCGCAAAGCATTTGCATTACACAGACATTCTGTTGGCACCTCTGGTTTATTTTGGGGGCGGAAATGCAAACAGGTTTTGAACGTGGACCAATAAGACAATGGGCGAGAAAACAAAGAAACTTTGAGAGACAAGATGGAAATTAAGCTCGTAAACTCCGTTCAGCGCGCATGTCATCCAGGAACAGAGTTATGTAGCACTCACGTTTGCACTTCTAAGAAATTTCCATTTTTTCGCATTAAAAAATCCAGATATGAAGCCGAAGCTGCCTTCTTTGCCAACCTGAAACTATCTGACTTCAACATCATTGACACACTTGGAGTTGGAGGTTTTGGAAGAGTTGAGCTGGTAGGTAACAGTTCTCTTTTTAACATGTTAACTCTGTTTTGTGGGTTTGCTTGTGGGGGGAGAGAGGGGATTGATACTTATCTTTTCCTTGTTCGGTACCCAATGAAGAGAAATATTGGTGAAGATAAGGGTGTAAAGCTGTCAGTCACTAAAAAGCAGTGATAAACTTTGCAGTAGTGAGGAAAAAAAAATCTGAATAAACTCCTGTCACTGCCTTTGTAAGTCTGGGTTTTTCATTCTCCAGGGTACCTTGTATTTAAATAATGTGACAGCTGGGGGAACAGGGGAATCTTCCAGCCAATATATTGAAATAAGGACTCACATGGGCTGTGGTACAGTTTCAGAAATAATGCAATATTTATCATTTCCTCATTGCTATTATGTTTGCTCTGCTCTAGGTATTTGCAATTAAGATAAAAAACAATGTTTTCCAACTTGTAATAGAATTATGCAATAACCAAAATAGCAATTTTAATGAGCTGTTGTTGTTGCTTTAATTTTATATATTCTGTTTGCATTCTGTTTTATATGGCTTTGTATGGTTAGGTCCCGTGGGAATTTATGCTGAAGGCATGTGATATATATGACACAAAGGTTTATGTTGAAGGCATGAGATATATATTACATAAATAAGTAAACAATATTAATAGAATTATATTGACCTTTAAATATATATAAAATGAAGATACTGGTGATCAATATGTATTTTTTTTGTTCTATACATGTGTATGTATCAAATGTATAAGAAGAGAATATATTATTAGTTGGGTGACTCATTTGTGAGTAACAGATTTATAGCAACAAGGAGGACTCCCTGATACGTGACACCTGTCAGACTCTTAGGAACTCCTTTAAGTTATGTACAGTGCAGTAAACAGGTTTTCTGCTGCCTTTCCAAAAATAAAGGGATATCCCTTCCATAAAAGCAAGGCAAGCAAGCAGTCATGCCATTAACAACCTTTTATTTGGATTGACTTGCAGTTTGTGAGCACAATCCAGAGATGTACACACAGTACACCCATAATTATTTGTATTTAAAGTTTAAGCAGGCGATTGCTATGAGCCAAAGAACTTTGCAGCTAAGACTGCAATACTAAATGCACTTACCAGGGAAGAAGTAAGCCTCACAGAGTGGGAGTTACTTCCAAGTAAATATGCATATGATGGTGCCACAGTTCCTTGAACAACAGCTCATACAATGCATATTGAAACAGACGGGGGTTCCAGGTGAGATTGTGATATGGCATTGGGGGCCTGCCATTTGGGAGGGATGTCCGGCATTTAATTGGGCATGCCCGGTTCATCTACCTTGACTAAGAATAATCTCAGCCAACCTAACTACAGGCATGTGAAAAGAAAACGCTAAGCTAAAAGACTTCATATCAAGCAAGTTCAAGAACTTTGGAATGGGTTAGACCACTGTGAAAAGTGGACCAAACCAATTTCTTCTCCATTCCCTGCCAAGCACCAAATTACTGTGCAGTGACAGGTGTAGAATGTCATGCACATCTGGTTGGTCACTATGCAAACAGGATGCTGGACAAGGTGGGCCACTTACCTGATCAGCTTGGCTCTTCTTATGTTCTTAGAGCTGTATTTTTTATTTCTCTGGAAAAAAATTAAGTAAAAAACAGCAACACATTGTTTAAATGCTGTTTATAGCACTAACTTGACTTTTGTGGTGGGAATTCTCCCATCACCAAGGTGTAACTTTGCTATCATGTAATCAGTGGTAAGATTGAAAACCGGAATGTCTGTGATTCAGAGCTAGTACTGTCTGGTGGGCTGTCAAGAATGCACTGGCCTACAGTTTAATGTTCAGATGTGGCTTGTTATAAGTACATGGATAGTGCTCCAGACACCTTTGTGAGTGCCAGTTGTTTTAAGAATGTGTTCCCTGGACCAATTTAGATGCAGGTACATGTCCATTAAACGAGACAGACATTTAAATAATTGTCAATTCAAGGAAGATTGGAATGACATTTAGGAAATTTGGAGTTTTCCTCAGCATAAAAGGCCACATCATAGTAAGCCACATCATAAAACTTAATGCAGTGAAAAGTGTGAGCTATCATATGCAGTAATGGGGTCCCTCCTATATAATTTGGTTGTCTTTATAAGTTAATAGACATTTCCAGAAGACTTGTATTCATGGAATTCATGGAGTTCCCTGGGTGGTTTTTTGTTTTAAGAAATCTGGCCTTAGTCTCATATTACTCTATCTCTCAGTAGGTACTATTTTAGTCCTGTTCTTCACCTCAAATGGCTGGTGGTGTCCATAAGGATCTTGCAGAAAGAGACAGGAAGAGATTTGTTCTATTTTCAAGCAAACAGTATAAACGGCTTACAGAGTTGGGTTTTTAGTGAGAGTAATTACAAATCTATCTCCACACATCCACTAAGAACATAATGAAATTTGCAAAGCGCTTAGAAGCCTATTTTGGCATCCAGTGGAATATAAATAAATAAATGCCGGTATTAATACTGATAATTCAAACAGAATAGCCTTTAGAAATCAGGTTTTTGAAATATGGGTTAAGTAATCATACAAAGGACTGCAGGGTTTGTAACTCTGGCCCCTCAGTATTCATTCCTATCAAAGAACCATAGAAAATAACCTACGCCTTTTGCCCCCTTAGTCTGTTTTTGTAAATAAATAAATAAAGGATGTGCATAAAAATAACAGTTTAAGAGGCCCACAATCTACACCAGGCATAGGCAAACTTGGCCCTCCAGATGTTTCAGGACTACAACTCCCATCATCCCTAGCTAACAGGACCAGTGGTCAGGGATAATGGGAAAATTGTAGTCTCAAAACATCTGGAGGGCCAAGTTTGCCTATGCCTGATCTACACATTTATCAGACTTAGTGACCTCCTAACAGCCACCATCATAAATCTCCACTGAGTCTGCCAAGTAAGTAGAGGCTATTCCAAGAAATGTCCAGCTCATGTTTCTGCCTAAGATGAAATAAAAGGAAGCAATATAAGATAGCCAGACATCCTGTTTTAACAGCTATAGCACCACAGAAATAAACAAAGTCATTCTTGTCTTTTGACTAAGAGATGAGCTACACATTACCTTCCCTCTGGGAGGGTGTTTCCACACGCTGACTTTTTTTATGCCTGACTGTAAGACCTCATACATTGCGCCATACGGAACATCTCTTCTGTAAAGTACATAGGCTGTAATGCAAAAAACTAAAATCTAGCCTTTAGCAGCAACTACTTCAATGAAAGACAGGAAATGAACAAATCTCCTAACTGGATAAGACCCTGCTTATACATTGAAGACAGTTGTCGGCTGCTGTCAGAGGAAAGCCAGGTGCTGGGAACTAAGAGTTGAGTCAAGGATGAGGGCCAAATCCAGGAGGCAAAGCTGAAGAACACGTCAGAGTCCAGATAGGAAGATTTTATACTTTGTCCTGTCTTGCAAGAACCAATGGCCAGCATGGGTGGGTGGGGAGCAAATCAGAGCATGGGAAGTCCAACAGTTCACTGCCTAAGAAGATTCTCTCAGCTTCAGCCATGGTGGCTCATTACATGGAGTAGCCAAAAATAGGAAACCAAGAATACCTGGTTTTAGTCCCAACGGGGCCTGTTAGCTATCAACAATTATGAATGCAACTTAATATTTTCTGCATAGTGGCTTCCAAACTCCCTACCCACAGTGAATCCTGTCTTCTCCAGAGAACTTTAGGGCGTATTCTAAACTACACACTTTATTCCTAAAGGGTGCTGGTCAGGCCTGATGGGCCTTATCATTTAGGTATTCCACCTCTTTTTGTCCTTGTAAAAACCAGGGGGAAAATGTAAATAAAAATTAGATGCAATTATGTATTACTTTATTCTCTAAAAGCATTGTCAACTTGCCTTGCATGAGTAAATACTGAAACCCACATTTCACTAACTGTGTCTGGCATAAGCCTTTAGTTAAACTACATGAAAGACACACTAGCAGTGGGTTTCCATTGAGGCATCACACTGCCAGGATCCTTCCATATGAGCACACATTTGGAGGGAGATTTTGATGGTAGCAGGGAAGTAGCAGTCATGAGAGCCTAATATAAAATATTATCCAAAGGATCAAGTTGATGCTAATTGTCATTTGCTCTTGATGCATGAGGTTCACTGACATGTGCCAAAGTTTTGAAAGCTGTGGGAAAGTTATTTTGTTGTTGCTCCTGGAAAAGAATCCTCCCAGCAGCTGGATCTAGGCTTATTTTGATGTATAATCCAAGTTTTTGAGTTGGGTGCAGGGGGCTCAATCTCCTATTGATAATGAATGTAGGGTGTTGAAAGCAAGACAGTATGATCTCTCTGGCTTCCAATGGGGACCTGACCAAGAACTAATAATTATTATTATTTGTTGTTGTTGTCCTGCATTTCCACAATTAAGCATCCAAGGCTGCTAACAAAAATACAAATTTATAAAAATAATGGTGATCCTAGAGCAGGCATGGCCAAACTTGGCCCTCCAGATGTTTTGGGACTACAGCTCGCATCATCCCTAGCTAACAGGACCAGTGGTCAGGGATGGTGGGAATTGTAGTCCCAAAACATCTGGAGGGCCAAGTTTGGCCATGCCTGTCCTAGAGTGTATATCCAGAAAAAAATGGAGTGCATATACTGCTCCCCCATGCATTGATGTACTATTAAGATCACCATCATCCTTGTGGACTCTTGAAGCTAAACAGAAGAACCTTATTACTGAAGTTGACTACTGCTTTTTAGTGGCTTGCGTTATATGTTTTTATAGTTTTATTTTTTTAACTTTTATTATGTTGTAATTGTTATTTTGTATTGTTCGCAAAACTTGGGTGTATAATTGTGGAAAGGTGGGATAAAATTGTTTGAGTATATGGCCGGGAACACTTTTAAAGTTGAGAATATTTATAGAAAGACAAAAAAGAATAATCAGTGAATACAAAACATATCTGAAACTTTTGGACACTTTGGCAGAAATTATAGTCTGTTCCCCAAGCCCTGTCAGTCAGAACTATTGATTTGGAAATGCTTTCCGTTTACCACTGTTCTCGTGGGTCCATTATATAGTGGCTGTCTGCTGCAATACCTATCATTTAAGCATAACATATTGCTATCAGAGAGGTTCTGTTATTGACTTGCTGTGTACAGATCTTGTCAGTACATTGGTACAAAGCCCAAGATTCCACTTCAGTATATCATTTCTTCCTATGCTTTAAAACAGGCATAGGCAAACTCGGCCCACCAGATGTTTTGGGTCTACAACTCCCATCATCCCTGACCACTGGTCCTGTTAGCTAGGGATTATGTGAGTTGTAGTCCCAAAACATCTGGAGGGCTGAGTTTGCCTATGCCTGCTTTAAAATATCTACTCATATGCCTTGTGTAAATTAGCATGTGCTTATTAAGATATACTTTATCCATCAGCTTATTTTGTGTGTGCCCAAAATAGTGCCAAGAATGTGCACTGACTTCCTATGGCTTTTCAGTCACAACTCATAGTGGTTGCTTTACATGCTTTTGAAAACCACCTTCTCCTTTCCCTTAAAATCAGTGGAGTATCTTTTTTACAATGTCACTGGTGCTTCAAGTTCAAATAATATCTCTTCCCCACCCCCTTCTCCACACATATACATGCACAAAATTATGATAGAGGAGCTTTTTTCTAACTGCTTGTCTCTGTGGACTGCACTACCCACTCAAGAAGGCCTTGCAATATATAATACCTCTTATCACCCATTATAACAACAACACCTATAGTTAAAAATGTGTGTGTGAGAGAGATTCAGTTCCTGGATTCCATCTTTTTGTCACACCAGTATGGCCAAGAAATGAGTCACAGGACAGGACTGTCTAGAGTGGATAGAGGCAGTCTTGCTTCTTCCGTTTTATGGTGCAGGTTTATCCCATGCTCCAATGAGATATCCTTATATTATAAAAATATTATTTATACCCCGCCCATCTGGCTGGGTTTCCCCAGCCACTCTGGGCGGCTCCCAATTGAATATTAAAAACACAATACAGCATTAAACATTAAAAACTTCCCTAAACAGTGCTGCTGCCTTCAGATGTCTTTTAAAAGTAGGATAGTTGCTTGTTTCCTTAACATCCAATGGGAGGGCGTTCCACAGGGCAGGCACCACTACCGAGAAGGCCCTCTGCCTGGTTCCCTGTAACTTTGCTTCTCGCAGTGAGAGAACCGCCAGAAGGCCCTTGGCACTGGACCTCAGCGTCCGGCTGAACGATGGGGATGGAGGCGCTCCTTCAGGTATACAGGACTGAGGCTTTAAAGGTCAGCACCAATGCTTTGAATTGTGCTTGGAAACGTACTGGGAGCCAATGCAGGTCTCTCAGGACCAGTGTTATATGGTCCTGGCGGCCACTCCCAGTCACTAGTCTAGCTGCCACATTCTGGATTAATTGCAGTTTCTGAGTCACCTTCAAAAGTAGCCCCACGTAGAGCTCACTGCAATAGTCCAAGCAGGAGATAACCACTCTGGCGAGACAGTCTGCGAGCAAGTAGGGTCTCAGCCTGCATACCGGATGGAGCTGGCAGATAGCTGCCCTGGACACAGAATTGACCTGCGCCTCCATGGACAGCTGTGAGTCCAAAATGACTCCCAGGCTGCGCATCTGGTCCTTCAGGGGCACAGTTATCCCATTCAGGGCCAGGGAGTCCCCCACACCTGCCCACCCCCTGACCCCCAAACAGTACTTCTGTCCTGTCAGGATTCAACCTCAATCTGTTAGCCGCCATCCATCCTTGAGAATGCTTCTTTCCCTATTCCCATAAATGCATTTGCAGAGAGTTGGTTGGACTCAGGACTGAAGGAAAGTATGCTCTTGTGCCTATCCTCCAATGAATT